GGTTTGGAACACCGATTTGGGTTTGGGATTTACTGATAAACCAGCAATTAACGAGTTGTTAGAAACTTCACAATCTTGTGAAGACCAGATTGGTCCTTGGGGTATTTTCTTGGCCTTAACACTAGCTGTTTACACCCTACATTTTAAATTGCCTTCATTTATATGCAGATAATAAAAATACACCTTTATTTGACTCTATTTAACCTACCACTGACAGTCCAACAAAATCTTTTTATATTTGAGCAATTGTTTAGCAGGAAATCAGCCCAGCAATGACACAAAAGGAAAAAATCTAACCCTTTCTTTAGGTCTTCTTTCTTTGGAAAGTTCTCTTTAAAGTCCCTTAGCTCTTTCCCAAGTTCCTAATTATGTATTCCTTTTCTTATACAATAAAACCACTGCTAGACTTGGGGCAGCCTCGGGTTCCAGGGCCTTGCAGGGAAAACCTGCCCAACAATTTAACTTCTGTCTTATACGCAGGAAGGAAGTCTCTTTTGTGTAGCAACCCAAACTACATTTCAGCCACAGTGATTTTAGGTTGCCCCCATAGTAAAAAGTCTTAAGTTGCTATTGCAGCCTAATGGGGCTGCTGGTGTGCATTCACACAGTCCTACTGAAATGCCCTCCTCATTACATGGGTTATTCAGAAGCCAACGTCTGCACTGACTTCAGTTTCTAAATAACTTTAGATTCAATGTCAGGGTCGAAATGTAGCTCCCGAGTGGCTTCGGGATGGTAGAGCAACTGGTGATCACTAGGATTTGTGTAACAGTGCAGTGACAGGGGAAACAGAAGATGAAGACCTGGTTATCTAGTCAGGTTTCTTTGCAATGCAAGGTCTTCTCCGTTTACACTAGTGTACTGTAAATTGCTAGGGAATTGCCAGCAAGGATAACAGCATTTTGTTACTGTTGTGATTAAGAGACTAAATCTTTAGGGCCCCTTTAAATTGCCTCTCCTGTTGTCCTAATTCAAGTAGAATTTCATTGTTTTCAATATGTGGGAGGAGGATTCAGGGGGAAATACTAGCAAATTTCACCTCTGTCTCAGAGAGGTATGCAAACAAACAGCAGAAGTGAACTTCTAGAGAAATTATTTTACTGCCTATTAGTGTCTGCTAGTTTTCATAGATCCATCAGGAGGCATGAGAATTCCCTTATAAAGTAATTTATGTGCTGTGTTGCAGAGCAACACTTGACTCTTTTGATCTTTGATATTAGCAATAACAGATTTGTAGGCACCTTCATCTTCTTCAGCACTGCCATGCAATCTAAGTTGGACTGGTCTGACTGCTGCTTGTTCCACTAACTCAGTTTTAAGTAACACATTATGATTGTCTCAAGTAGAGTCTAGAAACAGGCAGGACTTTAAAAACTGTTTGAGGAACCTGATTAGAAAGCTTCTTCTTTTCCAGTCTTTCCTTTCTTTATGTCCTGGATTTGGCTGGGATAGTGTTAGTTTTTAAATAGGTAAGAGAGACACACCACTTTGTAAACATTTTTTCTTAATTGCTTAAACTCATTTGGGCAGTTATTTTCCCAATCGCAATATGGTGGCAGTGAAAATCGGTTTTTGTGGTTTTAATGGAAAATTCATCATACGCCTTTCCAAATCTTGGAAAATTATAGCTATGCTTTCTCTTCCTCTTTAAAGATACTGTAACTGTCTTATCTGGACCACCATTACACTAGCAGGTTAGTACTATGCACTTGAGGCCTTTCAGTACTCTGCTGCAGAAAGCTAGTTCCTTGCTAAACATCCTCATATGGATTTGAAAATATACTCATTATTTCTATGTGTAAAAGCTCTCTGAAAACCTCATGAGGCAACTTCACCTCAAATTGACTATTTAGTTTAATTTCTCTTCACTTTCCTTCACAGGTTCCTTCTTTTCTCTATCTTCTTGTCTGCTGTCAATGGGACTTCAAATGTTCCATGTTTTCTCCCTGAGAAAAAGTGGAAAAAAAATTAAAAAGAGACAGCTGAACTCCTGCTGCACATCTGCAGAGCCCTGTGGGAACAAAGAGCCAGGACTGACAGGAGGGAGAATGGAAAATCAGTGGGAAGAGGCAGGAGACAGGCAAGGCAGTGGGGGAAGGGGCCATGGGGCAGTGGGGGGAATGGGAGCAGAAAGGAGCCAGACCTGGTAAGCTGAGGAGAAGCCCAGTAGGAGAAACATCTTTGTTTGGAGGAGAGAACAAAAAGGAAGCGGAGATAGTAGAAGAAGCATAGCTGTTGGGTTAGTTGTTCGTTGTTCCTATCCACTCTCAGTCTGCACCTAGGAAGGGGAAAACTAAAACACACAGAGGAAACCGATTAGCATATGCAAACAAACGTACTTCTTTTGCTCTGATTGTGACTATCTTTTTTCCCTATTTCTCTCTTCATTTGGCACTTTGTTTAAAAAGTATTAGTTATGAAAATGTAAAGCAGAAAATCTAATATGGCAAGGCTATAAAAGATGCTGACTTCGTTGATCTTGACACATTGATCTAAATGTATTTTTTGGTAGCTCAGAAGCACTGGCTTCTCTTAGACAGGGCTGACTGCTGCAAAGAAAACTAATCTGACCTACAGTGATTTGATTTTTCTCTAAATCTAAAACTTAAATTTGTTACATATCCTGAAAGACTTAGCAGGAAGAAGTTGGCATTAATGTCACAGCTTTTGTATTGTTTGTATACGTAACTGCTTTGTTTTAGGTTAACAACTCCTAGTGTAAACCATTTATCTGTGGAAAGAAGAACGCCAAATTGTCATGGGAAATTATTATATATCTTCAGTTACCAAGCAGACCAACTAAAATATCAGAAACAGAGCAATACTTACCTTTTCTAAGTTAACTAATACCAGTTCTTTGCTGTAGGACTGAATGTTTTCCTCCTAGTAATATTACAGCAGAGTAGTCAGCATTTCAATGTAATCTGCACTACAATGCCCTATGTTAATGCAGACAGATACTTCAAAAACAGAACAACATGTTAATGGTCCCTCTCATATAATTCTTGGGCCTAACAATTAGTAGTCAGTTTTATTACCAGTTAAGTGCAGAAATATACCATTTAAAAATCTAACAACCTTTGTTCTGGATTTTAGGTGCCTTCAACAAAATGTGTCTTTACTAATTTCTTTTGTAAGTTTGCATGTCTGTTGTAAATAGCACTTTTATCCCCTGGCTTATTGCCTGGAGAATAAGGCAAAGAAACAGGACACCTTATTTTGCTAAAACTTTTGGTTTCTTTTTTTAGTTTATTTTAAGAGGTTAGTGAAGGTTGGAAAACTTTCTTCATTGGTCATAGATGAACTTTTTTTTCAGTTCTTTATCTGCTGTACTTGGAACTCTGAAACTGGTAGCTGGAAATTAAGCTATCTTGGCGTGAATGGAGTTAAACTCCGAACTTTCAGTTATAAAAATGGATTAAACATCAGTTTATTGACTGAGTCTGGAAAAAAAAATAACAGTATCAAATTCAGGAATATTCCTCTTGTGAACATGAATTGCTTATTGGAATAGTCACGTTCTGGCAAAGCAGGCTGACCAGTTCCCTTTTTTCCTTTTTGTGAAGTCTCATCGCTTGCTTTACTTTTCACACATTTACCATTTCAGTTGCTCTGTTTTAAGGCATGTTGTGTTCTGTGCAAGATATACAAAACCAGCAGCCAGTTCTGGAAGTAAGAAGCAAACTTGTTCTCTAGATTCCTTGTTCTGCAATGAAGTTACATATTCACCTCTGTCCCTCCTAGTAAATAGGGTGTTCAAGTCTTAAAACCAATCTTTTCTGCGTGGTTGCAGTGTGATAAATACCCTCCAAAGGCTTGCATACTTAGCAGTGGCTGCTAATACATGGTCTTGGAATAACTTCTGTAGGGTATTTCTTCGACCAGTTGTGGGTAAGTTGCTGGCACTTTGACTTCATCCATGTGTAAACAAAGAGTTGGCCAGTCAGTTCTCATGGATTAGGAAAGCAGTTTACATATCTGGATACATTCGTCTTGCAATTTTCAGTTGTGACAGGAAAAATATTTTGCCTGTCCCTTTCATGTTCTAAAGAGTGAGGGAACCAATTTTTACATATATAAAATTTGGGTGTTTTATCTTACACAACTTTCTGATGTTTACATATTTCTTTCTCCATCGCGACTGATTAAGTTTCTCATTTTGTTGAAACTCCAAGCTTTCAGTCAATATTTCTAGTTTAAAATAGTTAGTGATCCATCTATGAGAGGTTTTTTCTTCTTCACTGACCATCTGTGATTCTTTAAAGTGTTCTCACCTCTTCCATTGCAAGAATTGTGTTCTCTCATACAGCTGAGGGTCTTGTCTCTGCTACATTAATCTGTGGTGTCTTTAGTTCTCTGAGCAGTTACTGAGAGTGTAAGATAGCCGAGCCATATGTGAGATATGAAGACTTCCGTAAAACAAAACTGAAAACCATTTTCATCAAAAATCAAGAATATGAACAGACTTCTGAATACACTTATTATACTGTTTCCTGGGAAGCTCAATTTATTAATTCATATTCAGTTTAGTTACTTGTACATACTGGTACATGGAAGGTCTTACACTGGAAAACATTTCCATCCAACTTAATTGTAGTACAAAATAAAGCAAAAATTGCTGGTTGTGGTTTTTACTACTGTAAGTGTATTAGCACAAATGGAGAAATTCATTATAGTATCTTTGAGTTGCAGTAATACCAACCATTCTGAAAAATTACTTCACAGATTTGTTACAGAAGAGGAAGAAAAACAGTGGCAAAAATTCTTGTCTTCGTGCAGCACCAGAATGGTTGTTAATACCAAAACTTCCAAGTGTTTATAGATAATCTGTACCTATGTAGCTTTTTGAGAAATTATACAAAGGTAATTTCTTGCTTCTACATTCTAGTAATTCCTTTCCAGATTAAGAGACTTCTTCTTTATCTGCATTAGTCCAAGGAGTAAGTCTTTATTTAGCTACTTAGAGTTGAAAAAACCCAAACAAATGAACATGTATAATTTCAACTGGAAAAACTGATGCAAAAATTATATGGTTTTAAGTCAAATCTGAGTCCAAATAGTACTGTTTGTTAAAAGAGTCTAAATATTTGAAGACAAGTACAACACCTGGTCACCTTTGAGCCAGATTCCACAGAAGGATGGTGGCTTATTTCTAATGGGGCTCCTTGGCTGGACCGCACATACTCTATTTACATATGATGCAAGAAGGTCTCTCCTCTGGTGACTGGAGAATTCATGAGTGAGTGTAGCTCAGGAAGCTGGGTTGATGTGGGAGCCTGACAGAGGTAGTCCATGCTTCTATTTCCATGTGAGTTACAGCATCCCTGTGTCAGAAGAATACAGGTTAACACTAAGCTGACCCAGAACACTTGGTGTCATTACAAGGAACGCAAATAATGAAAACTGAGCCAAGAATATCAGTGTTTTTAGTCGAGGGACTTTTTTTAGTTTTCAAGTCAAAATGCAGCTTCTCTATTGCCAGAAATCTTGAGATTTCCTCTTTGGGTGCTACCAAATTTTACTTTTCTTTATTTAGGAAGGAGAACGTGTTTTAAAATTCATGCATTCTCATTTTTCATTAGATCTACTCTTTCAGATCACTAAAAACTGTACTTTTAAAGTTCCTAACACTATATTTTAGGGGAAAAGTATTAATAACAACATATGGATGCCTATTAGAGCAGTAGAGCTGAAGTCTCTCTGTGTTGCTGCATTCAGAATTGAACGCAAAATGAAACCCAGATCTGCCTTCAAATTAGACAAAGCCTCCCAAGTTGGTACAACAGATTTATGGAACCGAATATGGTGTTGTAGAATAAGTGAGGAGCAAAGTACCAGCACTACATGCTTCAGAGCCATGTCTCGAAGAGTCAGAAGCACAGGATTTATTTCTTATGGGGCTACTACTCCGGCACAGGAATTCTGATGCCCTGGACTGAAGATACGAGAAAAACTCCTCTGAAAAGGCTTGCTATAAACAATTAATTTCATAGACCTAATTTAAATGTTTATGACATAGTGCTATATTTGCAAAATATTTAGGTTAGATATACATTTTCTATAGTAATAAATTAATTTCTGTCTCTTCATTTATTTAGAACATCCCTTCTCTTGTAGGCCTATATCTAACCTTTCCTTCCTCAACTGAAAAGAAACTATTAGTAAAATGTTACTCAGAACACCTAAATTTATCTAAAAATGAGCTGTGAAAATTTTATTTGCATGTACTTTTGCATTCAAGGAAACTCAAAATCAGTTTCTTTTAAACGTGCCAAAGTTGGCACAAATGGCACAAATCCCTGGAAGGTAAATATGTGCCTTGCTCTGTTTGAAGAAATCTGGCTTCAAAATAACACAGTTATAGACTTTTGAAAACATGCATCCTGGTTGGCACAGCAGGTTTTTAACATCAGAAGCAAACACCAGGATGTGATGTTCTGAATATTCACTTTCAGTATATTTGAAAGCTCACACCTACTTGTATTTGAATGTGTGATTACTTTCAGAACTGCATTGTTCTGAATCACGGTTAAAAAAAGAAAAAGGCTTTGGAGACCTTACTGTTTATTATAAATCAGGTTTCTGCTTTCAGTCAGAGAATGAAAGAACATAGGCATTTTACTCACAGGAACTACTATTACTCTTGTAGAAATAAAGTTAAATAGAGCTTCCTGTAAGAGTGACTGCAATCTAGGAAATATGCTGATTCCAATCATTATGCAGAGAAAAGATACTCACATTCCTGTGACCCCATTGTCTTAATTTCTCAATTCATAGAAAACTTTGCATGCTTTGAAAGATCTCTTGCAGTGTTGGACAGATTCTTTCTGTCCAAAACTGGAATTGTGTATTCTCCATCACTTTCTCAGTGACACCTGGTGATTTATGATGTTCTCTTGGAAATAAATAATCCACCTTGGAATAAAAGAAACACAAAATTATTTTAAGTAACAAAAAACCATTCTGTACCCTCAGAATACTGAATACAGCTAAAAGCCATCAAATATGACAATGCTCAGAAACTAATGCATCTTTCAAGCTTTTGATCACTTCTGTTAGTAACTAGAACTATTTATCACCTTTGAACCTTGACAACAGTTTTACACTGAATTTTTGAAAGAATAAGAAAGTGTATTTCTGCCAGTTAGCATGGGGAGTGAGGTTCATGGCTAACTCAAATTTGGTGAAATTCTGCTTCATCATGAGTGACAGAGGATAGCTGAGATAGGGAGAAGGTTAGATGTTTAAAGTAGGTACTTAAAAACAAGTAAGAAAAATGCTGTCAAAATTAACTATTATTTTATGTGTGTTTCCTCTACCAGAGTAACAGTTACGCTCCTTGTTAAATACACTGTACAAGGAAGTAATTAGAGGGATCATGCATGTGAAAGAACAGTATTAAAAAGTTTTGTTTCTTAAGAAGAACTGTACATCCCTGAATTCAGAGAGAATGTCCCACAGTCTGAGACTATTATAATCCATTCATGGGTTTTGCTGGTTTTGAGATTTTTCAGTAAAATATTAGCTAAATGAGGGAAATATTTCTTTCTTACTTAATTTTATTCTATTTCTTGCAATAACGGTTCTTATTTTAGCCAGATGTTTTTCATTCATATATCAAAGGAATCAGAAATAAATTTCAAACAAAACGGGTCTTTACTGTCAGATTTTCACTTTGGCTTTCATATCTTATTAATAGTAAATATTCAGAATTCCCTTTTATGGTGTACTGTAAAACTAAAAGCTTACTCCTGATCTTACTATACTTCTGGAGTTTTACCTGCAAACTGATGTTCTATAAAGATCCTGATGTCATTTGCTTGAAAGGCTTATTTGTAGATATTAAATATAAGTAGATATTAAACTCCATTTTTAAAGCCCAGAAGATCTAGGAAAAAAAAATCAGTCTTTCCTTTTTATGGTTAATAAACACTTATAAGCTGTAGGGTAACAAAAACATGAAATGTACATCCAAGAACTGTTGCAGCTAATTTCTTTGAATTCATTTTATTTAAATAAAACCTCATGCAGAACAGGGAGAGGCTGAAAACAGATGATGCTTCTCCAGTCTTCTGGGTAGATTTACCATTTATCTACCAGAGGCACAATTTTTCAAAAAAATTTTAAAATAAAAATTTTGGTTAGTTTTAGCTGTCATGAGAACAAGAAGTTACAAGTGCTAGATGACATTCAGCCTACAGTCCGTGTCTGCCCACAAACTAGCACTTGACATTACCAGATTTCTGCTACCTCAATCCTGAACTCGACTTTATGCCAGTTATACCAAACTACAGAGTGCTTTCAAAGGTTTCCATGTGTGAGCTCCCTGCCTCTGGTACATACCACTCATTTGTCTGCTACAAGCTTTCATCGCAAAGTTAATTTTACTTTAGACACCCACCCTCCTACTCCATACCAATATTCAAGATCATACATATGGTGCAAATAAAAAAAGTGCCTGTCATGTTGGGAATATTTCATACTCTTTTTAGAGGTTCTGTACTGTAGGTAAAAAAAAAAAAAAAAAATTAGACAGTGTAATTATTATAAACTGTGATTATTATAAACTGAGCTTACTTAAAGAAATTTTCATATTTGAATCAACTAGGAGGTAAACATTGTCTGCATAATATTGTATAACACTTGACATCTAATGACATCCTGAAATTCCTTTTCCCTTAACTCATTTCATGAAGCCTTGCATTAAACTCAGAAATGCGATAACAAAAAACCACACAAAACCAAACAAAAATAAATCCAAAAACCAAACCAGACCAACAAAACAACAAACAAACAAAAAAGCCCAAAGTATTAAACTTTTCGTTTATTCATAGTTTTCTACCATACTGGAATAGCTGTAGAGAGATGTAATATTCTTTATAAAATACAATTTTTGTAATATATATATGACTTGCCACTAACACTCTCTGCTTTTCATTATTTTATTGTGTGACTATATCCCTCATCTATGGAATGCATATTTACATGTAATTTACAATGAATAGACAAATTGACACTTACGAATTTGAGTACCAAATTTTAATTTCAGCAGTCTTTGATTTTTATACGTGTATGATGGTAAATTCATTGAGTTCTTTATTTTGTTTTTCTGTAAATTCAGTGGCTTTCTTGCCTCACACAGGAAGCAAATCTAGCAAAAAAACCCCAACAAAGTTATTCTATTTCTATAAGAGTTATCTGATCTCTAAAATTTTTTACTGACTTGAGGCCCAACTGTAAGCTAAGGCTATGAAGCTGGCTTCAGAAGACTTCAGGAATCATTCTTATTGCAGGGTCCACTTTCAATTTATAAAATAGTGGTGTGGGTGACATTATACAACACCTTCAGCATTCCGTGTTCCAGTAGAGTAAGGCTAAAGCAACTGGTAGGACTGTACAGAAATAACAGCAGGGGCATATGCTTGATGGCCTGCTCAGCTACACACTGAAAGGAACTGATTCCAGCACTGTGGGGGATATCTTTTCTGTCCCACATGTAACACCAGGCAAGAAGTGGTAGTGAAAAAACTCGCAAAGCAGCAAATGAAGTCAGACAGAACAGTGTATCCTGGCAACATCTTTGGAAATGATTTGCGAAACCGATAGTCTGGTATATGTAAAATAATATTTAAGGAAAACAGATGTAACATCATGCAGCCCTCATCTCCAATATGCCTGCACCTATGTGTAGTCTTTGGGACTTCAGTGACATGTTTATGCAGAGCTCCTTGCAGAGCCTGGTAAAAATAAATCCCTGCTATGAAGGACAACAGAGAGGGAAAGTGCAGCTTAACTTTCATCTGGAACTTCTGTCCTCAGGACTTTTGAAGTTGTATTTGTTAAGTGGCATGTCATATCCGCTTGTAGCACCTACAAATTTAAATACATACAGCATGAGTATCAGTGTGAGTAATTGTGAGTCTGCTCATGTGCACTCTGTCTTTGGTTGACTGGGATTTAAAGAGCAAGTGCTCCCATACCTGCTTAACTGGAATATTTGTCCCTTTGAATCCAAATTAATACACTTTTTTAAAGGGTCACCAAAATCCTTCCACATTTAGCTAAATTATTTTGCTTTCTGCAGTAACAGATCATGTCCACATTTACTCTGCTTTCTCATAATTTAGTCCTTCAAGCCTCCGAAAAAAACGCTAAGGTGGGGAGGACCAGAGCTTCTGGGAAATATGGAGTTAACCCAGTTTTGTTACCAGGAGTAGGAAATAGCTCACCCCTGCAGTCAATTTGCCTAATTGATTAGAAGCTTGATTGCACCCGTGAAGGACTGGATGCCCCAGGGGGGATATGCATGCACAGAGGCAGGGAAATTGCACGGCAGCTTCGCAGGAATGGGGTCTCCTGTGTTGCTAGGGCCCGGGCTAAGAAATCATTTTCCACCGACTGCTTCTGGATCAGCACCCACGATCATCTCCATCATGTTCCCAAGCACAGAGTCGGATTGTAGACTTGGAGACAGAGGGCCAGGAAGGGAAACCTGAGTGCTACCTCCTACAGGCTGCTGAGCACCCAGCTGGCACAGAAGCCATCAGGCTGTGAGGGTACTCAGTCCCCTGCGGTGAGACTCTCTAGCAAGAGAAATATTGTTTTCCCCACTCAAACGCTCCCCACCTGCAAGCAGTAATCGGTTTACTTCTTTAGTCTTCCCTGCTTCATCAGTACTCAGACTGAGAACCAGAAATGTCCCAGTGACAGAAGTCCCAAGGCTTGGTAACCAGAGAGGCTCCGTGGTTCCCTAATCCGTTCGGGGATGCTGCCGAGTGAAGCCCAGCGGCGGGAAGCAGTTTACAGTACAGTAACTCAGCCCCGTCTGGGCTTTTTCAGCTTGGCTTCATTACTATTACCATGATAAAGACCAGCTTTTCTTTTTTTCGACTTCCCTTTTGCTCCTTTAAGCCTCTACTTGCTCTTGACTTTTATGAATTTCCCTTTGAAACCTTGACACTGTGGCTGTTCTCGAGACAGACCTGATTACAAGACTTCAAATAAACTTGGGGTTTGGGTCTTTTTTTGTTGGGCTAGGAGGTGAGAGAGGAGAAAGCATGGATAACAGAGACATGTGAAGATTTTCTGGTAGAACTCATCTCCTTCCAAGGCTCTTCATGTCTTTTCTGCAATTCAGAGGGCCCAGAAAGCTTCAGCTGTGGGACATAATCCTAAATCCAGTTTTAGCATGAAACAGAAATAGCAAAATGTGAGCCTAATAGGACAAACAAGAATTGCAGGCTGTCAACTGTTTCAATGTGAAATACTCCACCTTCTTCCACTGAGGCCTCACCATTCTTACCTTGAGAAAAAATTTGGTAACAGTTCAAGTTTTAAAAAGAAGAACCCATGTGAAGGCTCATTCAAAAGCATCACACTGTGAAACAGCATGGTGGCTTACAGTCCACTACAGCACTCATTCAGTGCTGATGTGAAGTTTTATCTTTCCCCCCCTACATCTCCATGACTCGCTGGAATTCCTGGGCAGTCCCCAAATCCAAACCAACCTGCTCTCTCCTTAAGTTGCAGGACTTAGTGACCCCCATGTTCCTTGGGCTGCAAGGTACCAAAAAAAAAATAAAATGTATTTCTAGAGCCCTTCATGAAAAGTAATCTCTCTGATCCAGACATCACAGAACTCAGGTCTACTTTCCTGAGAGCAGAAAATTACAAATTCAGTCATGGTTCACCTGGTGGTGGCTTACAGAGATTCTCTTTTATGTCAGTACAAAAAAAGGCTAGTAAGGACAATATGGCCATCATCCAATCTCTAACGCTGTGTAAAGAGAACTATGGCACGGGTTAGACTACTCTGGTGACATTCATAAATCACCTGAAACAAAGACACATGGGAAAACTTAGCCTAGCCTCATCAGAAGAATTATTTCTGTGATCTCCTATTCAGTGTTTAGTTC